GGAGCTGTGGGGCTTATAGGGTTTAGGGGTTTAGGGTTTAGGGGTTTAGGGTTTAGGGGCTAGGGTTTAGGGGGGTTTGGGGTTGAGAGTGTTAGAAAGCCAAGACAAGGGATTCATTACTAAGGTCTTTGGGGTTTTAGGGTTTAGTCAAGTGTCTACTGAAACCACAGTCGCTAGATGCTAGGGTGGGTAGGGTTCCTAGGGTCGAGGGTTCGGGGCTTTAGGGTCTAGGGTTCCTTCTGGGGAGTTTTTTTGGGGTTTGGGGGTTTAGGGTTTAGGGTCGCGGGTTCCTAAACCCTAAACCCTAAACCCTAACCAAAAACCCTAAACCCTAAACCCTAAACTTGGGGTTCGGGGTCTTTAGAGCTTCGGGGCTTAGAGGAGTTGAGACTGGAAGGCACCTGAAGCTCCAAGAGGAGCTGCGGAGGCGTCGCTCAAGTTGGCTCCTTTGGTGCTTGCCGTGCGGCTGAGACGGCTTTAGGGTTTAGGCTTTAGGGCTTCGGGTTTAGGGTTTAGGGCAGCCGTGTCAAGCGGAGCATTGCATCTCATGTTATATGACTCGCTTTTTTCTACTATATGACGGTATAGTCTTTTCGACCAAACCATGGCATCTTATACTATGCTATGTTATAGTGCATTGTATAGTATTGTATAATTAGTAGAATGTCGCATGGTGCAGTCTAGTACAGTCTAGTTTAGTATAATATAGTCTAACATAGTACAACATATCACAGGATTTTCCATCCCTTGTCACCATAGGGCCCGCACTTCAGTTTTCCGAGCATCAGCTTGGCCTTTCCCTGGCGAAATGGGCCGAAAGAATGCTCGATGATGCTGCTCTTGCGGTTCAAGGTTTCGGGTTTAGGGGTGCTCGGTTTGGGGTTAAAGGGGTTACTGTAAGGGTTGCTATACTTCGAACAGGTTCTATAGAGTCTCATAGTATAGGGTTTGAGGGTCTGGTTGTAAAGGGGATGAAGGTCACAAGGGCCACTGTAAGGGTTGCTGTAAGGGTTCCTTCAAAAGGGTTCTACAGGGTCAAATGGTATAGGGTTTAGGGTCGAAAGGGCTACTGTAAGGGTTGCTATAAGGGTTCCTTCACAAGGGTTGTATCGGGTAAAAGAGTATATTGGTTTAGGGTCAAAAGGGTCACTGTAAGGCGTAAGGCTTGCTATAAGGGGTTCGCGTAAAGGGATCTATAGGGTCAAATGGTATAGGGGTTTAGGGTCTAAAGGCATACCTGTGTTCTGCAGAAAGAGGAACCGAAAAAAGGTAGGTCTTTTCGGCTGCAGGTTGGACTTTAGTTGTCTGGAGTTCAAATCCTAAACCCTAAACCCTAAACCCTAGAACCTAAACGGCCCTCAAAACTTTTGCGGTTGAGGCCCCCCTTGCCTCCAGGCCTCCCCCACTCCCAAACCAAAGCGGAAGGCCCCTCCATGACTTGGAGAGGCTTCAATATGGGAGTTTCCGAAAATTAGGGGTACCTTATTTTGGGGTCCTTATATTAAGGATCCTATTATTTAGGGTACTAGGGTCCCCTATTTTCGGAAACCCCCATATAACAATAATCATAGCAATCATAGTACTAGTATCAATGTAATTCGTGTGAATAATTTCAAAAATGGTAATCGTAATAAAGGGCTAAGAGCTTCAAGGTGTATGGCTCAAAGTAAAGGGAGCTTAAAAAGTATGATCTAAGGTAACCTTAGACCCTAAGCATTATATTTTTGATCCATTTCTTTTTGGACTGCGCAAGGGAGGCGCCCCGGGCGCTTACACCGCAAGCGAAGCCTTCCTGCTTCTGAGGGAACTGCTTCTCAAGCCTGAAACTTTTCTTTTGTTTTATTGTTTTGGTTAATGCGTCAGCTCTGCCCGCCCCACCCCGCCTTGCGCTTTTGCAAGCCTTCCCCGGAGCCCCCCAAGCTGGCTCCCGCAAAACTTGTTCATTCACTTCTAGGACACCCCAAAGTTGTGTTGCTTGCCTTTTCTGGAGCTCTTCCAGGCTTCCAGAATTGGGGTTTTCTAAGACTGGGTTTTTTCGGCCTAGAAACCCGAACCCCCTACTACGAGAATCTTTATGACTATTCCATAAACTACCCCCAAACCGCTTTCTATTTATTCAGCCACCCCGTACTGCAAGCAAAACTTGAACCGATCGCACAGGGCGGGCCGGGATCCCTCGCGGTAGCGCTCCGCGATGAGTTGGGACCTTAGCCGCCCAGTGCGGCCTCCGACGGGGTCCGTGCAACAGCCCCGTCCAGGCCTTTTTAGGGTTCTTGTGGGTTCATTGGTTTGTTCGTTAGGGTTTTACGGAATCATAGGTTGGTTCCTTACAGTTCCTATGGGTTTATAGGCTGATTCTTTTCGGGTCGTTGTGGACTTGTCGACTGATAAAGGCTCATAACTTTGGCTTTGGATTGTGGTCGGTTTTTGTCGATGGTTTTCCGCGAAAGGTCTAGGTCTTCTCCGGTGGCTTTACGTTATACAGTTAGATTGTATTATATAGTCATATTATGCTATATTAAACTGTCTCATATTATGATATGATGTACCCCAAACCCCATTCTAATGGTTGAGGCCCTTATTCTCGGAGTGGCCTCTTTGTGCTGTTGTCGGGGTGGCGCGCATGCTTGCCTATTTTTTTTTGTCTGGTTGCTCCGAGATCTTTGTCTGTCGCCTGCGGATGAGGGTATTGGGGCCCCACGGATCGACTCCTAATCTACAAAGCCTGAGCCCTGACCGAATCATCAAGTCGGATGTTAGACATAGAGAAGGGTCTGAATGATGAAGGCTATTCCCATGTAGTTCTTTGAAAACCATGCTATAAGTCTCACCGAAACCTGTTGAAATTGTGACGGCCCCACATTAAGCCACTGGGACATTTCATGTCCTCCCTGAACATCCCAAATCCTGAAGAACCCTCATAGACAAAAGTCTTGCCAAGGATTCTGAACCCTAAACCCTAAACCCTTATATCCATTTCTCCTTATACAGGCCGCTTAACAGGGCCTAAGCTTGGGGTCTGTTTGAATCCTTACGAAGAGGTCTCGAGGAGGCGCAGAGAGTTGGGAGAGGCTTCGGGTCCCGTGGAAGGGGTCTGGGGTTTTAGGTCTCGGATTTAGGGTTTAGGGTTTAGGGTTTAGGGTTTAAGTTTCACTGGCTTAGGATTTTGGGTTTAGGGTTTAGGAGTTTTGGGTCCAGAGTCCAGGGTTTTGAGTTGTGGGTTGTGGGTCTAGTCTAGGCTTGTGGGTTTTGAGTTGGAGTTTAGGCTTCAGGAGTTTAGAGCCCCGGAAAAGGCAGGAATAGCCCAGTGCCAGGAGGCTAGGACGATCCCCCCAGAAAGCCAGGATGAAAACACAACCGGCCCAAGCAAGTTGAAGGTGAGTTTCAAGTCCCGGGGACATATTAGGGCTTATGGTTTACGGCCTACCAGCGCTGCTACACTTAAAATCTGAGTTCGCGGCCATGAACCCTGAGCCTTAGACCCCAAACCCTAAAACCCAAATCCAAAACCCCTTAACCCTGAACCCAAACACCCTACATTCTAAATGCCTAAACCCTGAACCCGACGCCTGAACCGTGAACCCCGGACGCGACAGATCTGGCAAACAAAAATCTGCCCAGGCTCGGATTGGCATCCGACGTCAGCGTAGGCTTCCAGGACATACTTTCGGGCTCTTACGGCCTAAACCCTAAACCCTGAACTCCTAAACCATCCTAAACGCCAAACCCAAAACCTAAAACCCCAGACCCTAAA